AAGGGAAGTAACTGCTCTGAGTAGAGTAGCCATGATAGCACAGGCTTCTTCCAGAGGCTAAATGTTTTTTGAATGAGCTCTAATTAGCATTTCAGTTTCATACAGGTCTCTGGTATGCCTGGTAGATTAATCGGATGCACTGGTGGGCCTCATAATAATTCAGAGTATGAGCAAAACCCTTGTAGTTTGCAAGAGTTCAGAGAAGTGGGGAATCTGCAATTTAAGTCCATTTTCTAACATAATGAAACAAAGATCACAACAACAGGTTTGCTGTCTCTGGTGAGACTCTGTCCTCATGTCTGGAGATTGTCTTCCATAACTCTGCTGAGGCTTTGGTACTACTGCAGTGCAGATTTTTAATTGATGAAATCCACTTAGACTGGATTTTAATTTTGAATTTATTCCACATGCTGAGGTGACTTAGATTTGCATAACAAATGACAATGCTTGTGGTGCCTTGTTTTACTTGTTTCCACTGTATCACAAGGCCCTGAAATTTGTGATTTAAGGTGTTAAATATACTGTTTGTGTATTGCATGATGTGTGCATCAAACAGTGGCTGAAGAATTTAAACTTTTTTCCCCTCAAACTGTAAAGGAGCATGGCAGCTTTTGCAGGCATGTGTGATGGAGGATCCACAGAAGATGGGTGTGTTGCAGCCTCCCGTGACGACACTACGCTTAATGCACTCAATACAGTAAGTATATAGAACTACTGTATGGAAGAACAGTCTTTCAATTTATTTCTGGACTACTTAAAGCATGTAGTGCATAAATAGATTTTGGAGTCATAATATGAGTATGATATTAGCCTAGGATACCATAACTTGCTTTCTAGGTTTTTAACTAGAGTTCTAACTAGTTTTCAAAAATCTAACCCACAGAACTTCAGTGACAAACTTTTGGGTTGTGCCTTTTAAGATGGCAGCTAATGAATGTTCTGTTTGGGAAGCTGCTCAGGTCAAGTACACCAGCGGGAATTGTTACTTGTTCAGCTGACACTTGATCGGGCTATTGGTCCTTTCATTCAGCCCAACTAGCTTCTAGCTGTAGGAAAGCAATAGTTATTTCCTAGAAGGAAAATTCATAATGCCATCTGACCTATAGTGTCACGTATTTGGTAATGATTGTCTGGAATTTGTCCCACTTATGATCCAGTCTTAATTATAATTTATATTTGGATGCATGTATGTTCAGTTATCTGTTGCATAAACATAATGTATATGAATAAAGCATTACTGAGTAGTTACATACATGTGAGTGTGTGTTGAGATCCTCACATGGTTTTAGTGCAGCCACAACAATTACCTGGTGGGAGGGGGGGTACTAACATCAGTAAATCATGGTACATTAAATGGTATTTGAAGATCAAGCTGAAGAAACTTGTCTGTCATCCCATATTTTTTGGTGACATCGTGGAATCTATAGTTGTTTGTTCCCCCAGAGCCCCGTCTGCAGCTTTTGGAGAACTGGGGTGGCAGTGAGTCTAAGCTGACCTTTATTGCTTCTTCATTGTTTCCTTCCTGAAATATAGTAAAAGGAATTATGTAACTACTCTGAAGAAACACTCTACCAACAAACAAATTTCATTCTTCCTCTTTTTATGTCACCTTTTATCCATAAAATATATCTTGGAGGTATGAACAGTTCTGTCCTGTCATTTTCATGGTTCTTGGCTACATTCTAATCACATGCACTTGTGAAAGCTGTGGAAAGGGTAGGATGTACCCTTTGCTGAATGAGTTTCTAGCTACATCCTAAAATGTTTTAGGGGCAATCACAATAGAAATGTACAGACTCCACCTACAGATGGTGGGACTGGAAGCTGAGAGCAACTTCAGTTGAGCATGTTTTTGTGAAACTGCCGAGGGAGGGTGCAGTGTGTAGCTTCAGATTTAGTTTTTAAAGATCTCCTTTCCTAGAAGTAGTTTTAAGCGTATTGTACCTCAGCGGCCAGCACTCTGTGAGTTGCTGTAGATAGTTACCTTATGTTGCTCACAATGCTTGAGGTTCAAGTAATATGTTTTCATTTGGTAAAAATAGAACAACTAGTGATACCAACAAAAAAAAAAGTGTTGCACTCCTGCAAATTGTCTGTTAAATACTACCTAATGACCACAACATTATGTCTGCCTCTGCTTGCTATGCTTTCATTATTTACAATTGCGTATTTTTTTAACCATTTATTTATAAAATTCTTAAAAGTAGGTGGTTGTGGTACACATCAGCAACTGAGTGGTAATTGCTGCAGCACAGAACAGATGATCTGTGTGTTTAGAGGAAATATCCGAAGCATGTTATTTGGTGGTTTTATTGAAGTGAGTGGAACTGACTTTATCAAATTAATCACATTAAATATGCCTAACTGACTTTTTTTTTTACTGTCAGTAAAGCTTCTCATTACATGAAGTTTTTAAATACTTCAGAATGTTAAAAAGAAGCTTGATCTGTAAGTTGTAGAACTGGTTTGTAACTGGCCAAGTCTATGATTAGGTATGTACAACTTGATCTCTACACTAAAGTTAAAATGCCTGAATTCTTAACATGAAACATGTTCTTTACGTAACCTTAGCTTACCAAAACCACTTGCATTGGTTCTTTGTTTTGTTTCCGCTTCTATTTGATTACATGTTTCATAGTGCATCAATTTTTGTCTTGTTTCTTGCAATAGAGAGGAGTAAAATAGGATTAAGATCTAAAATGTGCCCCCCCTGTAATACTTTATTAAATAAACAGCAACAGAATGTCCATTCTTATTCTGCAAAATTGTTTAAATATAGTCTATACAGTCACATCTGTAACCAGCTGAAATCCAACATCAAACTCTGTACGCAAATTAAATGCTTCCTCCTTGTTCTCACTTTTACATCTGCAAAGTCCAGTGTTAGTGCTTCACAGTGCACTTCAGAACTGAGGTGAATGTATAAATCTTAGTCCTTTGGTTCCTTTCCTAAAGGTAGCCAGTGTGTTAAAAATTTGGTAAGAATGGTGTTCTAAGTCTGTATTGCACATCCACTTCAGGCTCTTACCTATTTTACATTGTGTTTCTTTCCTTTCTCTTGGGATGGTTGCGGTACGTTCTGGTGGCTGACCACTCTAGAGTTTTCCAAGTTGTTCCCTGACATCCTTCTTAGTGACTCAAATCTCTGTTAAGGCCAATAATCACGAAAGCTTTTGGAATTGGAATTTCTTTCCCCTTGTCAGACTAATGCAGAAAATTTGTTTAACTTCACTGCTTCACTGTCTACTTTAATTACCCCCTTCAATCACTTGGGAGTCTAAGGAGCCTGTAGTTGCACTTTGTAGACATCTTGCTTCTGAGACTTAGGTAAGTCCCAAAACATTTTGTTTCTGTTCTTCTGATTCTTTTCTCTTTGTATCTCTAGTGCACATCGTAATCACTGCTGAGCCACTTTCTGAATGGGGGAGGTTTCACGCTTGTGAAATAAAAGCACTGTACAAACTCTTAATTTATCCTCTTAAGAATACTGTTTGTCTGTGGGTAATATTTTTGCTGCTGTTATGACTTCCCCTTCCCCCCCAATATGACATCTTGATGTATAGCAGTAAGACTTGCCCTGTGGTGTTCTTGTGTGTGTCTCATTGGCTTCAGCTTTGCTGAAGTTTCTCTTTTGTAGGTATTGTGGTGCAAGTCCTCTGTTCCTCTCTAAGCTAGTTTTCCACCTTGTATTGACACAGTGTAGTTCCCATTAAATAGTCTCCCTGAACATGGACTGTTGTACTTCCACAAAAATACAATCTGCAGGGTTTGCCCTTAATGGTTCTTGAAAGGTCCTTAGGCTTCTGCGATTTTTTTTTTTTATTTATTCATGCTTTAAAAATGTACTCTGTGTACCGAATGCTCTTCATCACAATTTTTAGGAACTAGTGAAAATACTTCCCTTGTTCACATTGAATTTTTCTGGAAGAATGTTTTCGTAAGAATGATAGTTCTGTCAGGTGGGATATTTTAGGAAACTTTGACTTATTTCTGAGCGCCTGCTTTTTTGACTAACTTAAAAGAGTTTAGGTAAGTATTTAGTTGTCCTGACAAAATGGTGCCCTTGTATCTTTCTGTTCACCATCTGTTTAAAGCATATCAGATTTACCTGATAAATAATTACAAGAATCTTTCCCTGCACTAAGTTATGTTTTTGTTTAGAAATTATCATATGCAACCCAGAAAATTAATGTAAAAAAATTGATATGGTATGATTTCTTATTATGGAAATCCAATAAACTTCAGAGCAGCCCTTCATATAAATCAGTCTTGACAAGCTCCTTTGCTAGTGTTTTATTTATGTAATAACAGATGCTGTAGCCCCCAGAATGATTTATTGTTAATTATACCAAATAGAAATGAAGATCGTGGCAGGCACAAGGCAACATATATATCAGCTCATTGAAATGATTATTCCAGGTAAACTCTGGCTCCTGTTTCTTTGTTTGGCTCTTGGCATTTGATGCCACATTTGTCACTGTAACCCTTGGGAAGGAAATAAAGTTTTCATTTGGAGTTCATTACCTTCCTCATGAGTGCTGGCTGCCATACTGAGAGCTGTGCAGGACGACATTACCAGTTCCTAGAAGTCTTCCACCGTGATATTTTTAGTTAGTGTAACAGAAGAGCCCCTGTCTACCATAGAACAGGTAACGGAATTTGGCCGATGTTCTAAAACTAGCTGGGTTTTTGTGATGTATTTAAATATTCATGCACAAAGGCTGTTTGATGCAGTAGACCTTAAAATACTAGTCATGTAAAACAAAAACGTGCATATTTCCCACAGCCTCCTCCTAGAGAAGCTGATGCGCGACGGTCTAGCCGAGCGGTCTGTGCCCGGGGGGCTGCCTGACAGGCTGCGCCCGGAGGGTGCTGGCAGATCGCTCCTCCTCAAACGGGCAGCCTGTCACGAGCGGGGTCCCCCGGGGGTCCGTATCGGGCCCGACGCTGTTTAATAGCCTCGTAAGTGATCTGGATGATGGGATCAAGTGTACCCTGATGAAGTTTGCCAAGGATATCAAACTGAGTGGGGAGCGGACACTTCGGAAGGGAGAGCCACTCTGCAGGCAGACCTGGGTAGGCTGGAAGAGTGGGCTAAGAAGAGCCTGACGAAGTTCAGCAAAGGCAAATGTAAGGTCTTGCGCCTGGGGAAGCGTAATCCAGGAGTGCAGCACAGGCTGGGATCTACCTGGCTGGGGAGCAGCTCTGTGGAGAGGGACCTGGGCGTTCCCGTGGACGAGCGGCTCAGTAAGAGTGACCAGTGCGCTGCTGCGGCAGGGAGAGCCGGCAGGGTGCTGGGTGGCATCACCCGCAGAGATAAAGGAGTCGCTGTCCCACTCGGTGCTTGTCGGGCCGCACCTGCATACTGTGTTCGGTTTTGGTTGCCGCAGTACAAAAAAGATGCAGCCAGGCTGGAGAGGGTCCAGAGAAAAGCCACGATGATGATCAAAGGACCGGGGAGCCTGCCACGTGAGGAAAGGCTGGGAGAACGGGGTATGTTCAGCCTTGCGAAAAGAAGGCTTAGGGGAGACCTTATCACCGTGTTCCAGTGTTTAAAGGGTGGCTACAAAGAAGATGGAAATTCCTTTTTTACAAGGAGTCACGTGGAAAAGATGAGTGGTAATAGGTACAAGTTACTCCTGAGGAGATTCCGATTGGACACGAGGAAAACATTTCACTGAGAACAATCAGCCATTG